TTTTAGTTTTTCTTATTTTTCTTAGTTAGTTTTGGTTCGATGGGCTCGGTCGACCTCTCGTTTTGACGGTAATTTAAATATCTACAATTTTCTCCATTGGAGTATAAACTTTGCTCTGAAAATTTCAATTTCAAAGGCGAAAAACACGTTTGTGCACATTTCAAACGTTGTTCAAACAATGAACTAAACAAATTAACAATAGGAAACTTATACGTCTTCATCTATTAATGCCAATGAAAGTTATTGCGCAAAAGGTTCGCTGTTGAAAATTTAGTGCCAAAAATGTCCTTATTGGTTTACGGACGGGCCCCGCGTCCGGGATAAGAAAGCGAAGGACGCGTGCGTTACCTTTGTCAATGTCGAGACTTGACGCTCGCCAGTGGCGTCGGTGCTGGGATTCTCGGTCGTCTGCTTATGGGTGTCGCCGCTGCAGCGAGTGTCACCAAGCCGGCATCGCCTCTCGGACGCGCCCCCGTCAATCTGCAAACGACAAACGGTTACTCGAATTTTCACCAATTACGATATGTCGTCTGTCAGTTCTATCGCGACTCCATTAAGCTCTACGTCGATTACAAGACTTTCCTTTGTGCTCAAAACGAGACACATTCGTGACATTCGACGCAACAATTATTTCTTTTCGTCGCTCAACTGTCACACTTTAGCCCGTTGACTTATCTCCGCCACTGTTCATCTTTCGATTCTCATTGCCGAGTAAATTGAACGTTAAAGAACATAACGAGATGTCTGTAATCGAGTCGTTTGATTGTTCGTGTCTAATGGTGTACCGACAATAGCCGAAAATACTGTGAGCAAGCAGGTAAAGGCATTAGCCGGTAACCCGGTTAAACTTGTGACGATCTCAGTTGCCTCGCCGATATCAATAGGGAATCAGAAGTTCGCAAGCGTGAACACCGAGAGCAAACATTAAAATATGCAACGGCAATTCCGACACACCTTAAGCCCGAAGGCAAAGCAACAAATGTACAGCCTATCGGTGGATTGTTTTCGTGCGAGCACTGTGTTCCGATTAAAACAGACGTCTGTTCTTCACGACCGGAGGCACCAATTCTCTATGACTCCGTCGGCTTACTCATTGAGACACTTGTCTTTATCCAGGAAAATGGTTTTGTTAACGTTCGCCACTCGAGCGACGTGACGTTTTTCCGGTTGAACGAACGTGAACGACGCGCGCAGGATCGCAGCTAGCAATGTAATCACCGCGGAGAGAGCGCGACACACCAAAGCGTAGACGATCAAAAATTGGTAACAGGCTGAGCACAAAATAACGACGTGCACTTGGACAGCGAGCGACTTCCTTTAGCGCCGTCGCAACGCAATGCTAATCAGCATAATTCCCTCGAAAAGTCAGAACGCGCTTCGAAGCTTCCATTGAAAACAATTGAATGCCACTCGAAACCAGCAACACTTTTTCACACACGCGCACGCATGCACGCACGCAGTCGCCGTCAGCAGTCAAACGCGTACACTGCACGGGCGCGTGTGAGTGTAGTACGTGCAACGCTGAATGGGGCGCCAATGATGGAGGTGTCGGCGCCGAGTTCACGCACCTGTGCTTCGCGCAGCGACCGTATACCTGCACGCCTGCATGTGTGTACGTACGTTTACGTGCTTTACGTACCCACACGCGCGCGCGCGTATACACACACGAGCTCGAAAAATGTGCATGCGTACGCTCAATGAGTCGACGTCGTTGAAAAGACGAATATACCCGAGCTTTTAATTTGGAAAGAGCACTCGCAGACAACTTAGGGCATTAAAAAGAAAAAATAAATAAATAAAAGCCTGCCAACATGGATTGACCTGAATGCCACTCTACCATTCTTCTTTTTTCCCAGTGCTGAAATACTCTGTTCAATGAAAAGAAATATTCTTCAATTACAGACTTTCAGCAGGGTAATTACAAGTACATACAACTAATATTGGTCTATTTATTTGAGAGGAGGCCAGTGTGTAAGCGTTAACTGCAACAAACAAACTATTAGCCCTATATTTATTTATTTGCTTTAATCATTCATTGACCATCCATGAATGTACACCTCATTTGCCAATGCCTGCTTGCATAGTATGGGTCAATGAATATCTTTGATTATTGATTCTATTATATTTTCTCTATTCGAGTTTCAAATATGTGTGATAAACACTCAATCTGCATAAGCAAATAATGATCAAGACCATCATATACACACAGTCATGCATATAGTTACGTAGTGCTTCAGAGTACAAATACCAACTCAAATAGTCTCTTTTTTTGTGTCAATTGATTGAACAAGCTAACAAATCAAGATAAGAATTAAGCGAATAAACCACAAGAAACAATGTAGAGCAGCACTTGGAGTTTACCCCCAACTACACTAATAGGTCTATAGGTTTGAAATAACACTGTCGAGTACATAACTATAGCAGGTGTCTGTAATGAGTATATAGCTTGCAGTAGGACTCATTGATTATCAATCTGATGTGTAATGACAAAGACAATGGATTTATGCTTCAATGGAACAATAATTATTCTACGCTTTACAGAGAAAAGATATACCTCTCTAAAACCAGTTATAAGAAGTTTTTACTAATAAACTGTACTGATAAGCGTATAAGCAGCCATGTGAGAGTGCCAGTTTTGCCGAGTGAAAATTTAACTCCATTTCATGTATAGCTGCAGAAACAGCCATGCAAGCATCAGCAGACATAAGCATTCATCGAGGAGGTTGGGCTTATTCCCTTTAAAGGATTGAGGTGTAACGCTGCTGCAGCCTTTTCGCTTCGAAGGAAAAGCATTAAACGGTTTTCCGGGCGGCGGCTTTGACTGACGGAGAAAAAAAGGTGCTGAGGATAGCGGCGGTAGCAAAAGGCAGCACGTATACGGGCGTTGCTCGGCACACTCGCACATATATATACGCTCGCACACTTACAGTAGCAGAGAGAGAAAGATAGATAGAGAGAGACAGAGAGTAAGAGAGTGAGAGCATAAGAGAGACGGAAGTGCCGCGGAATGCGTGGCCACGCGCCGCTTGTGCCAACTCTCCTCATACCTGTTTCTCGATCTGGGAACTGTACTCGACTTCTCGTCGTCGTCTTCTACGAGTTGCACTTGCACAGCGCTGCAAACTTTTTTGTCGCGCACTTTAAACGACTATTATCGTACGGGAGGCAAGTGATATGAGCGATGCTCTCTCCTTTTACAGGATAGGCACACGGCGACACGACACGCACCACTCAACTGCTGTGCTGTTCTGTTCTCTCTCTTTCTTGCTCGCTCACTCACTTTCTCTCTCTCTCTCTCTCTCTCTCTCTCTCTCTCTCTCTCTCTCTCTCTCTTTCCGTCTATGCTCTCTGCTGGCTGACTCTGTCTCAACTCAATGCTCACCGACGGAGAGAGCGAGAAAGAGGCGCGACTACCGCGACGCCTGGCGTAACACGACTGAGGTTAGGTTCACCACCCACATACACACAAACGACGCCTCCTACAATATGGCCGCGAGCTCCATCTGTGTGGACTGTGTGCGTAATGAGCAGTGGTGTTGTATTCGAATGTGATGGCGGTTACATTTAAAATTGCTTTTATTATACTATTATGTAGTCTTGATGCACGATGAATATCTATGATGATTTTATGAGATAATAAATAATAATAAATTCAATAGCGATATCAATTTAATAAATTACTCGTAACTGGCTATCATTTATTTTATTAAATCCCTATGCAACGAAAATTGACAAACACAAGTACTATCATTAATGTCATTTCACATTCTTTTTTGTAGAAAAATATTGTTCAATTAAATTATTTTTATATTTTGTTTGAACAATATTTAACATACGGTTTTCATGCGTCAAATATGTAAGACTTTTTTTTATTATCTAACGTAATAGTAATCCTTCATTGACCACAACCATAGACAAATCTTTCTTAGTTTAACTAAAGTCAATGACAGTTAAATCAAATGTCAGTTAACTTAATCGCTTAATAAAATCAAAGAGTCAATAAATTATTTTTAATTCTCCTATCAAATCCTTATGTCACATCGACAAGTCAATCAAATGTCAAAATCTTCAATATCACAACTTATCAATCATAATCAACAGATGTTTCACTTTTCAAACTCTTCTTTTTCAGAAAGAAAGAACGAAGTAACTTTTTATTTGTTAAACAATGAACCAAACTAAATTTCAATCTCCTTTCTACCGTATTGTCAGCCGAGTCATTCTTTTTAAGCATGAACATATGTCATAAGTATTTTGGATATAATTATCAAATTCAAATTTATCTATATTGATTAAATAAATCATTAATCACTATAAAAAACTTTGTAGTTAATTAATCTTTTATTTCTAAATGATAAATTTTTCTCGTCATAGGAATTTTGACAAATTTAATCTTTTAATAATTCATCTTTTATAATATTTTTTAAAGTATTATTATTTTAGTGCAAAAAATAATTATAAAATGAAAGAATTGTTAATTTTATTTTATTGTTATTAAATAGCTCGTAATCAAACGATATATAGAGTTTGGTAATACTTATAAAATATCTTAACAAAATTACGTTTCCTTATTGCGAAATATATATTGTTATAAATTTGGTACGACGCATTCATTTACTTGCTCGAATTAATCACACCTAACTGTAAAGCAAAAATAAAACTAGGAAGGAAAAAAATAAACTGAATAAAATATCTCTTAAACCTGTGACTATTTATTATGAAAGTACATAGAAGGAATGGTGCATACTAAATTACACACAACTAAAACACAAAAGAAATATCTTTTAAAATCCTAGATAATTGGTAAAAAATGAAAAATTTTCATTTATGCTATACTGTACTTTTTTCTTTTTTTTTAAACTTATCTAGCAGTATTTCAATATTACAACCTAGAACAAGGGCTCCACTGCGAGTTGTATCTATTTACTCTAAAAATTCATTGCGTTAAGTTAAATATTCTGAGCTATAGTCTCTTAAAAAAAGGTTCTATAAATGAGCCATATCGTTGTAAATTGAGATCTTGGCGAAAAAGAAATGAAAAGAATAAACGTGGAGGCCCAATTTCAAAAGACACGTTCCCGCGTCTCAAGCATAATCCTATTTCCGAAATCACGGGTTCTTTTTCTTTCAAAAAGACAGCATATGTACAAGGCAGTGGTCTTGTGTGTGGATGACGTTATTTAAGCGCCTTCAGAACTGGAGACCTTGCTCTTGACGTATTCCTCGAGTTCAGCGTCGAGTTCCTCAGCAGTTGGTGCCTTGGTTTTAGCACCGCCGCGGCCCACTGCTCCGGCGCCTCTGCTGCCGCCACGACCACCGCGGCCGCGGAACGAGCCTCGACTGCCACCACGACCTCGACTACCGCGCATTGGGCTGCTGCCACGTCGGAAGCCACCAATGCCACCACGGATAGGACTTGGAATCTCCGACGTCGCCAATTGGATGTTCATCTCGCGTCCGTCCAATGGTACTCCATTGTATTGCTTCATGGCCTGCAGAAGCAACAATATATAAACAAAACATGTCGTTGAATATTACTTTTCATTGAAGTTTTTTATATTTGTTTTTCCTCTTCTTAGAAATTTTATAAACAACTCTGAATTTGACTGATGGCCCATAAGGCTTTTTCACTATAAAAATTATATGGAAGATCACAGATACCTGAATATGACAATCATTTGCGAAGAACGCACAAGTAGTAATGAATACCAAACAAACATGTGCACGTAAAGAGTTGATGCTTGTATTATATATTATCGAGGAAGAATATAAATGTGAATTTAGTATAAAAAATGACTTGAAATATTTGCGAAAATACAGATGCCAACCAAAGAACATAATAAAGTAGAATTAAAAGAATTACGTCATACCTTAATGGCATCAGCTCTCCTCTCGTAAATAAGATCAGCGGATCCAAGGGAGCGCCCGGACCTGTCGTAGTGCACACCAGCAGACTTCAAAGGCCCAAACTCGCTGAAAAGCTCGATGATGTCGGAGTCGGTAACACCATAATCCAAATTGGAGACAATCAGCTTGGTCGAGTCAGATCCGAACTTTCGGGGTGAGGTGCTGCCGAGGAAAGCATCGCGAGCCTTGGCACCACGACGAGAACGTCCAAAGCTAGGTGGACTGCGAGAAATGCCACCACGCCCACGTCCGCGCATCACACCGCCGCCAGGTTTGCGACCTCCACGTAGGGACGAGCCACGTCGGGATACGAAGCCACCACGTCGGGATTTGCTGCCCTTGTTTTGCTTGATTATGTCGTCAAGGCTCATTTCCATCTTGCCGGTCAAAGTCTCTTTACTTAACGTCTGCTCAATGTGAAATTACTGCTGCTGCAATTGCTGCTACTGGCCTTAGCGAAGATCGCCGCGTCGAGGATTGATCAGAGGTCTAAGACAGAAAGAATCTTATTGTTGGGTTTGCCTGTATCTATTTGTCTCTGATGAAGAAAGTTTGTGTTTTGGAGACTGTCGTCTCGAGAATCAAAGACTGTCCTGCTGATCAGTTTTTTGACAAGATTTATTGAAACAATTTAGACGTTACATTACATTGGCAACATTCAAGCAATTAGTATCCGTTGACTGAAAGTTGATCACAAGTTAATACAAAATTTATACAGATATTAGTCCGCGCGGACTGCAGCAGCTAAACTGCACAGATCAGTGTTATTTAAATAATCAATTACAGCATCAGAGCAGTCCAGATTCCAGCATATTTCGTCAAAGCTTTCGATTATCAATGCGTCGAGCGCTTCAAGTGCAGGTTCTAGCAGATCTTTTCTAGCCAAAGCTTTTCCGTATTGCATCATGACAAGGCAGCCACATTCCGGAAAGAGCTGGGCCAATTGATTGGATTTGATTAATCGGGCGAACGCTCCGTTCCGTGCCAGATGCGTTGCCATTTTATTGACGTTTCGGAACATCTCGTACAAAGACACGTATCCGAAGTAAGTGCTCTTCATCCGCTCAAGTTCCATTTTACACGCGTTTGCCAAAGTGTTCTTCTCGTCGTGCTCCTCCTCGTCATCCAAATTGTTTTCATTTTCCTTGAGCAGCCTCTCGTACAGAAGCTCGTTAGTGTGGCTTATTGGAAAACCAGCCAACTTTCTGACCTGCAAGTGCTTGCAGAAAATTTCGTAGAGCTCGAGCCTAGGCATTCTGCTCGTTGAAATTTCGAAGAAGTAAGAGACTATGGTGCGACCGCTGCGATCCTCCACGTCAATATTCGCGCCGCATCTCAAGAGTGCTTTTAGCGCGGCAAGATTGACCGGCCAATACGCGTGATGAAGAGCTGTCCGACCGGAGCAGTCTGTTGTATTCAGGTCGCAACCGTGCTCCATTAATTGAGTGAAAATCCGTGCGTAATAATGTTCTTTCGCCTTGAACGTAAATTTCAGCATCAGAATGAGAAACTTGTCAATGATCTAATTAATTTTCTGTAATTTAACATTGAATCTTACCTGCACCAACTGAATCGTCTGGTGAATCAGAGTACCCCCTTCCAAACTTGTAAAATGAACGCTAGCTCCGTTTTTCAAAAGTACCCCGACAATTTTTTCACGTTGCCAGGCGATTGCCAATTCGAGAGGTCGATAATTCATGATCATTGGACTCATTAGATTAGGACTAGCTTTGTACTTGAAAGCAACATCGAGAATATTAGTTTTGTTATACTTTATTGCCAGCTCGACTAGAGTGAATCCTAAATTATTCCTGACATCTGGATCGGCACCATACAACAAAAGTTTGGCAGCTATGTCGGCATAGCCAGCTCGAGGGATACAAGTCAGATGCAATGCTGTTGCACCTTCTCTGTTTCTGGTATTGATTTTCGTCCAGTGACCCAAAATCAGATCGACCATTTGACGATTTTTTTTGTATACTGCTATATGCAATGGCGTGTAGCCAGAATATTTTTGAGCGAATGGATGAACGGGTTCATCGAGATTTACTCCACAGTGAATATAATCTCTGGCTGTTTCTATCATGCCCCTTAGACAAACAATATGGAAATACGTCAATCCCTTGTTATCCATTGGATTGTTACGCTTAGAAGTAGGATGTGATAAAATTATTTGTATAATTTTTTCATTATTTGATTGTAAAGCTAAACGAAGTGGAGTAATTTGTCTTGCACTCTTCACGCTTGGATCAGCATTGTAAGTCAGTAATATTTCTATTGCTTTGATTTTTGCATTGGAACAAGCTATATGAAGTGGAGTGAAACCATATTTATCTTCACTATTTACATTAGCGCCATAACATAGTAGCATCTTGATAATACGAATTTTATTGTATTTAACTGCTAAATACAGAGGACTGCATCCTGAATAGATAGGACATTGTAAACTAGCATGTGCATTAATATCTACATCTTTATGAAGTAGATTTTTAACCGCAAGTATGTCATCCCTCATACAAGCAACATGTAATGCAGTTAATCCAGTTTTTTCGGCAAGCTGTGTATCTTTATTCTGAATTACAAGCCAAAAGGCATCCAAAATCTGTTTGGATTCATTTGGGTGTAATTTACCAATGTAATGTAAAGGAACCTTATTAAAAATATCTTTGGTTATAATATCAAAATTACTGTTCAAAAGTATTTTCGTACTTTCTATGTGACCATTTTTCACAGCAAAGTGTAATGGTCTGAAGCCTGGGTATATTGGTGAATCTAATTTAACTTGATCCTCAGTACCTATTTTATTTTGTAGAAATTGATTAATTAGAATGCTTTCATTTTTCATACATAAAATGTGAAAATGAGATAGTCCAAAATTATTAACTGGATTGATAATTTTTCTATTATGAACTGATAAAATCATAATTATGATTTCCTTATACTGTTTTTGAATAGCAAAGTGAAGTGGAGTTGAACCAGTATACGTTTCTTGAAGAGTAAAATCAGCATTCCTTTCCAAAAGTACTTCTACTATTTCTATACAATTAAATTTCACTGCAAAATGTAAGGGAGTTTCTCCAATACTAGTAGCCATGTCTACAAATGAACCTGAATCTAAAATATTCTTGACTATATCTGCTCTATTAGCTAAACAAGCAGCATGTAAGTGTGATAATCCTTTATTATCAACAGAATTCTTCATTGTTTCAGTATAATATGAAAACATTCTCTTCACAATACTATAATCTTTTTTATAAACTGCAATATGAACTGGCGTTGATCCATTAACATCTTGAATACATAAATCAGCTCCATTTTGCAGTAGAAAATCAATCATTTCTATATCAGCAAGTTCAACTGCAAAATGTAATGCAGTGTAACCTGACAACTTTATAGGACACTTTGAAGGTATAGTTGTATTAATATTAAATCCATTATTTAAAACATATTTGATAGAATCCAAATTTGAATTCAGACAAGTGCAATAAAATTCAAACATCTTTGGGCTGCAGTTATCAATTTGGAAAATTTGTTTGATGTTTTCATGTACATAGTAAATAAAAGTATTGGTAATCAATTTGGTACGAATAGCTAATTGAATTGGGCTAATACCAGCTGCATTTTTGGCATTTATATCAGCTCTACGTTGCAATAACAATACGATTCGATATGTGCATTTACAATGAACAGCAACGTGTAATGGGGTATACCCAGGCCACAAAATTGAATCAGACTTTACAGGAATATTTATGTTGACGACCTGTTGCAATATCTTTTCTAAAGAGTGTAATTTACAATTGCCCATACAATAAACATGCAGTAAGGATATTCCATTGTTATCAATTGGATTTATAGAATTTTGTCCAAGAGCTGAAAATAATGATTCTATAAGTAGTTCATCACACTTTTTTATTGCAACGTGAAGTGGAGTTAACCCTGCTGCATTTTTTATGTTTACGTCAGCACCAAATTTCAGAAGTAAATTTGTTGTAGACAAAATGGAATATGTGGATGCAATATGTAACGGTGTGTAGCCAGGCCAGTATGGTGAACTATGGCTGATATAACTATTAAAATCAACTTTATTTTCTAAAAAGCCTAGTACAATTGAATAATTATTTCTGAAACATGCTATATGAAAATGTGACAATCCCATATTATCTAAAACATTAATGTAATTCTTTTTGTGAGCAACTAAAATCTCATCGATTATAGGAATTAAATTATGTTTTCTCTTTGGTGCCTTATCCAATAGTATCATTGTCATAGCAAGATGTAAAGCTGTTTGTCCTTTGGCATTTTTGATTGTAAAGTCAGCTTTGTGTTCAAGTAATATTTTTACTGCTCGTAAATGTTTACATACCACAGCAAAATGTAATGCAGTATAACCAGGAAATGTTGGAGAATGAATACTGACTCTGCTATTCACAATTGATAAATTGTACAACAGCCATTCTTCTACTTTGAGTTGTTTGTGCATACAAATATAATAAAATTGACCTAATTTTATTTCATTTGTTTTGAGTTTTACGTTCATTGTAAGTTTTATTACTTTTTATTAATTCTGATAGTTCTTTGGTTTGGTTTATGTATTCTTCATTTTAATATCTTGCTTATAAATATTTGTAAAATTACTGTAAACATATAGTTCATTAGATATTTTATAAAAGCCAAAACAGGATAATAACAGTATTTACGACATACCTCATTTACAATAAGCAAAATGACTAAATCTTACGTATAAGAATATAATGTTATTTCTCTTTTATTTATTTAATCAACTAATAAAAAGGCCGAAAATAAACTAAAATTTAAGTCGGAATTTTTAATGTAAAAAAACAGTTCCTTAACTGCATTTTATGAGTCTAGTTTACAATGTTAAAAACGGAAATGTTGAGAAAATCAATACATATTTAAATTGCACATAGCGATAGCAGACAGCATCATAAGTGCGTATTTTCTAAGAAAAAATGGCAGAGGCTGATAAATGAACCCAACCTAACTTTGCAAGCGTCGCAGTCGCCAGTCATTTACACATCGTGACTCGTTCTCTCGTGAGCAATATTTGTTTGACATAAATTTAAAACCAATGTTCTACGAAATTTTTTTATAATCAAACGCCATAAAAATAAAAATTTCAATCGGAAAATGTAAAATCTATTTATATATCGAATATATAAAATTTTACGATTATTATCACAAAAACCTTATAAGAAACTTAGGTTATAAAAATCAATAATAGAAATGGGTAGAATTCTTTATCTTTTAAAAAATATTTAAAAACTAGAAAGCATAAAATAAAACGTGTTAAAACTAGTTTATACTAGATTTAAAAAAAAAATGTCAATCAGCACAGAAAAATTAATAGATTATTTCAGTATCTCAAATGCAACTAATTTAAATGGACAAAATGTCTTGCACTATATTGTCACAACAGGTTGCATAGGTTTAACGCATTACCAATGCAACAAATTGATAAAATATTTTATAAATAAAGGCTGTGATATTAATTTACAAGATAATCTAGGCAGAACACCAATTCATGTTGCAGTCGAAGAAGAAAATGTCAATGAGTTAGACATACTTTTAACCAATGGAGCTGATCCAAATATTCTTGATAACGAGGGCAAAACTGTCTTTGAACATTCATGGCAAAGGTTGGGGAAGGGAACTCATACTTCATTTAAAATACAATCATACAGGTATATATTATTAGCATACTATCTGCATATTTTATCCTATGAAATAAATTATTTAATTTAAAAATTTTCAGATACTTAGCATGCTATTTAAATAAAATGCAAGTTGCAGGATGTTGGATCAGTGAACGAAATAGACATATTTATAGAATATCTCTAAATGCTTACAATTACTATTGTCACAGCAATTTAGAGGTGCATTCAAAAGAATTGCATAAAATGTCTAAAATTTACCTAAATCATCAAATAAATTTGAAGAGCTTTCTTGAAAAGAAAGAAAATGAAATATCACTATTGATAAATAGCGAAATATTAGAAAAGGTTTTGAAAAATGTAGACCACGAATTTCCTATATTTGGCTGTGTTTTAAAATTACAGTATACTAAAGGATTCGCTAATAAAAAACTTTCCAACAATGCACATATTGCCTTAGAAAAAATGATCAACTTCAAATTACCAGTTTTGTGTTTTGAAAATATCAGAATCTATCTTGATCAGACAGATTTAAAAAATATGATAAATTCAATTAAAGAACTTCAAAAGAAATACAGCAATTGTACATTGAAAGAATTTTCACAAGTTTGCAAAATGGTTATTCAATCATTTTAAAACAAGATAATGCGAGTAAGATATCTATGTAATTGTTACATAATTTGTTAATTGTAAATACCAAAAGTACTCAATATAATGTTTTTCAACATTTTAAATAAAACTATTTTATTTGTATGGTAAAGAATAATTATAGGGTGGCTATTAATTATGTAAAAAAAATTTTCATCACAAAATACATTTTTCAAATAAATAACGTTCTAAACATAAACATTTTTTCGATGATTAAAATTAATGTTTATTAGATTCATATGTTATCATTTTATATATTAATGATAAAAAAAGAAAAATGTCTATAATAAAGTAGTTGTAAAATAATGCTAACATCATAAAATATATTTTTCAATTGCACGTGTAGCGAAATACATGATGGTAGTATTATAAAAAGAGCGAAACAATAGTGAGTAATTCATAATGGGATTTAGAATAAAGACAATTTTAAACACAAAATTAAAATAAGAATTAGATGACAATCAAATAAATGTTAAAATTTACGTATTCACATTGCTTTGGAGAAATGTATATATTTTATACTGCACGATTGAAATTTCAATATGAAACAGTTATTAACAAGATTTTGACCAGCAATTTAAAATATTTACAGAGTAATTATTATATTAAAAATTATTAAAATTGTGCTTTAACTTTTAAATGTTACTGATAAGCATTTCCTTGAATCGTGATTGATGAGAAACGAAAACCCAGAGACGCCTATCAAACGAGTATTCGTAGGTTAGAATATCATCTCCTTAGAAATGTTGTAACTCGAAAAAACACTTAAGAGTTTCTTGTAAAATGTTCAAAACAAATCACAAATACGTAATTTCATCTCATAATCCGGAAGGTGATGTGAACAAAAGAATTTCAAACCAAAGACGCTTTCGCAAAGCTAAAAGAGGTTAGGTACGATCCCGGTACAATCATATTGTTTTATATCGAAACAATTGAAAACTTTGCAAGTATCCATGAAATAAAAACGTCGAATCGGCAAATAAATCTTTCGAAGATTAATTCATATAAACTTACCAAAAATTAATTGATTGAAAACTCGTCCTTTTACATGCCGGCAAAAACCCACGCGATGCAACACCACACCACGATGATCGTCTCTGCTGTGAACTCTCGAGCAGTCTCGGGTCGAGTCGAGACTCTAGTAGTAATATGACGAGTGTGTATATGAGTACTAAACAAAACAGTGTAGGTATAGTTGATGTCAGTGTGTGTAGCGTAGAACGAGAGGGGGAAATACAGAGAGCGAGAGAGAGAGAGAGAGAGAGACGAGAGAGAGAGAGACGAGAGAAACAACGAGCAAGGAAAGAAGCCATTAATAAACCACAACGGTACTCAACGAGCCACGAGCAGTTTTGCTTAGCAGTATGATTGTATATGTGGATGTGTGGATTACCTATATTCACAATTGTGTCCACTTTGGCGGGATTACTCAAAACTGCGCATATACATACATGAATCTGCGAGTTTGTGAAAAATAACCATGCTACACGTACATCAAGAATGCTAAAATGTTAATGTTCAAATCCTTCACGTGACTTGCTTGTTAAAAGTATCGTCTCCAAAACTGGTCGTCAAACTATTATGGACAAGCTCATTTTTTTTCGAAAATGACAGACTTTTTGGTATTCAAAAGCCCAAGAAACGGCTATGATTTTACAATAAGACAAAAATTATTATAGTTCATAGTTCATTAGTTTAGTTTACTAGATGGCGGTGGCTTTCTAATTCAGTTGCTAGTATGTCAGTACGCAATATATACGCAACTACGCAAGCGGCCAGCCTAATGTTTTAGGGGAGGAGAGATCCTTCTCGGAAAACATAATTAGGAATAATTATTTGGTCGCTTCTGCGAATGGAATGGCAGGAACCTTATAATATAACGAGGTGCCAACCTCAATACTAGATCTATAGCTTAAAGTGGATTCCAAACCACCAGTCATTGCGTTAATTTTGAAAGAATTTAAAAGATCCATTCGTAAGTAGCTGCCGGGAACCGGATCCAGCTCCAGACTTTTGCATCGGGCCATCGGCACAACTCTGTATGAGCAACTAGAGACCTCTAGTGGCCGATCGTAAACATTCCGGTTGGCGGCTTCTTTGTAAAAGTCTGATAAGCAAATATTTTTATTGTTTGATTATGAGATTTATTGTTATTTATGGTTTTATTTTTTTTAATTTTAGGTATGTCTAAGATCGAGTGATGCTCTGCAATCCATTTCCTTGCTAAAAATGTTTATATGAATTTTAAACTAATATTGTATGAAAACTCATACGAAATTTATGCAAAATTTATATAAAATTCATGTAAAATTTGTATGAATTTCATATGAATTCCGAATACATTTTATTCAAATTTTTTAGAAATTCCATTCTAATTTAGTTTTTATTTCGAATAACTATATTTCATAATAAATGTTTAATAAAGGAAAATTTATGTTCTTTTATTTCCTTTTAAAAAATGATTCAAAATTTTTTTAAACGTATTTTATTGCATGTTGAGTTAAACAATAACGTAAATGAAACAAAATACATTTTATATACAAATATTCATTTACACGTATCTATTAAACAATTAGATCGTATCTGCATACCTTCCAGATCATGTCTCTCTCTCCCTCTCTCTCTCTCTCACTCTCTCAGTATTTTTTATCTATTCATATTCATTGCAATACTTATTAATACTTAAGCATATTAGGCACTGCGCTGATATAACGTTCATTTTTCGAGATTTCTATGCAAATTGCAACGTGAAAAATATCATCAGTATTCATAACCATTACGTAATTGTCAATTTTCATGATTTTTTTATTTTTGTGTTATTTTTGAAAACAATTTCTGTTTCAATTAAATTGTATAATCTATATTCTTTTTTTTGCCATTCGTCAGCTATAAACTCGACAATGTTTATAAAAATACCATTTTTTGTTAGAGCGAAACAGTTATTTGAACACTTACAATTTTTATTATTGGAAGTGAATAAACATCGATCCTTTATAATAAACATACGATTATATAAATTCATATATTTTGAAGACAGCAAATGTAACTTTATCCATTTGTCATTAGTAGAACAAGATTTTATGAAATATCGATTTTTTAATACTTTAACGGACTTTTCTTTAAATTTATTTTTGATTTAATTACAAAATTTGAGCACTGGTGATTCTTCGTGACGTTCCGAAATAGGTTTTTGAAGAATAATTGCGCTTTAACAGTACTCAATTTTCCGACATATTTGATGTAACACACCTTTACTGTACCTACGATTTTTCCGTTACCCAACTCGAAAGGATAACCGTTGTATGCAAAAAGTGGGGCCTAGTTTATTATATCAACCATATGTAACAGTTGATGTACACTATATGTCATAGCTTTATCAGTATAATGCTCTTCAGTAAAACAAACAAAATTTTGAAGCAATTTATCAGCTTACAATAAATCATTGCTGGATGTAAAATTGCTTTTCATGATATGAATTGCTTTCACAAGTAATTCCCAATGTTCCGTGTACTTTTTAAAACCAGAAATTGTTTTCAAAATCGGTAAGCTGTAAAAGAGTAACTAATTTTCATACTTCCGACCCTTCCAATGTTTTCTTTCTTTTAATGGACGACGTAAACGGTCTATTTGATAAGTCTGAAGTTTGGATCGTTCACAGTGAACGAAAATTTCAAAATTTTAAGTTTCAATTTTCAATACGACATATTGATTCTCAGCAATACTATCTTGATATGAACAATGATTTAACATCAAAATTTAAGTACAACCCCTATAAACTACCCTTACAGTAACTGGCGTAATGAATGTTAAATAACGTTGACACTTGTTATTACCAATAAATGAGAGGCAGCATAATGCTTTTCCGTCAAAGTATAATTGTAAGGAGAATGCGTGAACATTTGTCCGGCCGGCGCCCTCGCGAACTACCCCTACAGCCCGTCAAACAACCACCAAACGCAGAAATTAATCGTTTTTTTTGTTGAAACATCGAACCACCAAGACATATAATGTTGAACAATGGGTTATTACGTAAGTATTGCTTCTAGGAAAGAGCTCGAAAAATATCTCCGGTCGGCGTCCTCGCGAACCATCCTTAAAGTTAATTAAACGACAGCTAAATGATGAATTCTATTATATTTACGTTTTAATTTGTAATTACCACGAAAAAAATGCCAAATGATTTATTACATAAGATTTACAATAAGAAGGTGGCTGAAAAAGTTTCCTCCTTGTCAATTTACCCCTACATCTCATTAAATGATCACTGAACGTAGGCTTTTATTATCTTTTGTTGTACGATCAAATTACCATGAAATAATATAAATGATTTCGCTAGTGGATAGTTTCACAAACCATCATGACAGATACTTATAAATTCCCTTTTTAATATTGCGTTTCTTTCATTGTCATGTATAATAACTTTAAGTTACCATATTCGAATGGGAATTCTTGTTGTTATATTTCTAACATTTGTGTATGTAATTCTTTCATTATAAGATTTATATGCATTAAACTTGGTGGGTTTCCTCTGTCGTTCTCCTAAAGAACCATACCTTTAGTCATTTGAAATAAACAATTCTGAGGATATTTAATGTTTTTTGTCTGATTTTTTATTAATGGAGCGTTACGGAATAATCGCAGGTTTGTATTCATTATACTTATTATAAATAATATATTTCATTTCTTTTGTTTTACAGATAATAATTCCATATCGAAAATGACATTAAATCTCAACTTTCTTTAATGCACAATTATCAATAATTTTTATAATATCAATAAAATTGTAATTTTTGTGAATCAAATTTACAAAGTACTTATTTGTAAACTACAATCTCTCTACCAACCAAAATCCATTTTACATTCTTATTCTACAATAATAATAATTTAGCAGTTAAAATGATATATTATGATATTAACAAAAATACTATAAAAAATACATTATCTTATTATAAAATTTACGTACGCTCCATAAAGGCAAGGACTTCTTATTGGAAACCTTACGTAATGAGTCACTCGGCATTTTTTTTCCTAATAATTATAAATTAAAACATAAAAATAATGAAAATCAGCGTTGAGCAGTCGTTTGATTGGCTTGAGGAGTGGTTCGCGAGGGCGCCGACCGGAGCTATTTTTCAAGTCCTTTCATAGAAGCAATAATTATATAAAAAACTATTTCTCAACATTATATGTCTTGGTGGTTCGATGTTTCAACAAAAAAACGATTAAATTCTACGTTTAGTGGTTGTTTGACGGGCTGTAGGGGTAGTTCGCGAGGGCGCCGACCGGAGATATTTTTCGAGCTGTTTCCTTAGAGCAATAATTATATAAAAAACCATTTCTCAACATTACATGTCTTGGTGGTTCGTTGTTTCAACAAAAAAACGATTAAATTCTACGTTTATTGGTTGTTTGACTGGTTGTAGGGGTAGTTCGCGAGGGCGCCGACCGGAAATATTTTCTGAGCCCTTTCCTAGGAGCAATACATACGCAATAACCCATTGTTCAACATTATATGTCTTAGTGGTTCGATGTTTCAACAAAAAAACGATTAAATTCTACGTTTAGTGGTTGTTTGACGGGCTGTAGGGGTAGTTCACGAGGGCGCCGACCGGAAAAATGTTCTCGCATTTTCCTTACAATTATACTTTGACGGAAAAGCATTATGCTGTCTCTCATTTATTGGTAATAACAAGTGTCAACGTTATTTAACATTCATTACACCAGTTACTGTAAGGGTAGTTTATAGGGGTTGTAATTAAATTTTAATGTTAAATCATTGTTCATATAAATATAGTATTGCTGAGAATCAATATGTCATATTGAAAATTGAAACATGAAATTTTGAAATTTTCGTTCACTGTGAACGATCCAAACTTCAGACTCATTCTATTTGTTCGGGAACTCGTAATTTTTTGCAAAATTTCGTTCATGTCTTGCATCATATTTTTATTTATTAAGTAGGCTTTCTTACGCTCATCAAACCACAAGTGCATGAATTGTGGTCCAACACCTAAGGGAAAAATGTGCAACTCATCAGGTGCAAAGCCATCTACAATATCAAAACAATCAAGATTAATTAAGGGTGATTTCCTTTCCACCTTTATATACCTAAGTATCTCATAGGGAGTGAAAAGGGAGTGAAAGTGCAAATTAGGGGTGGA